CTTAATATACTAATTAGGGATTAAGCTAGATAATTGAGTTTAAGGCATAACCAAGCATTACTTAACTTAATTGATTTAATCTAATTAATTTAACATGAATCAAATTTTAACTTCCCATTAGGCTCCAAAAATTATGCCAATCACAATAGACTAATCAATTTCGATTTCTGACGCTATTAAGGTCTTCAATTTCATATTACAATAGAAATCACAACAGATATTCCTACGGCTAACATATATGAATCCAAAAATCATATTAATCACATAATTAGCATTCAAATTTACACTAAACACATAAGCACATTTAAAACTAAAGGATTAAAAACATAATACGTGACAGGATTGTCACAGTCACAAAATGCAATGTCGTTGTAGACCCTACCTGAATTCACATGTTTGGACTTACCTATCACGACTCCAATTCATCCCAAATAAGATAGTTAGGTGACCGGCCAGTAATTGCGGACTACTAAAGGCCTAGCTTACAAAACAAGTTGAACTTTTAGAATAATTGAGACAAAGTAAAGTTTATAAATATTAATAATTAAATATATAAAAACTTTCATTAATCTACAAATATTTTGTCAAAAAATCACTATCGTGTAATTTCTCCTTAAAAAACCATTTGTACCATTGGGCTGGAATTGTCAAACTATAACATTTGGGATCACTACAGGAAATTACATTTTTGCCGGCTAAAAATTTGGTCTACAAAAGTCCATTTTTAGTCGGCAAAAGCTATTCGCGACCAATTTTTTTGGTCGCCACTTTGGTCGCCAATTGAGGGTCGGCAAAAGTAATTAGCGACCAAAACTTTTGTTAGTTGAGAAAAAGTTAGATTTGCAGACTAAATTTTTGGTCGCTAAATATATCATTATTGCGACTAATCCATTTAGTTGCTAAAACACTTTAGTCGCAAAAAATAACATATTCCCGACCAAACATATTAGTCGCCTATTGTCACATTCCACGACCAAAAATTTTGGTCGCCAATTGTCACATTCCACGACTAAAAATTTGGTCGCCAATTGTGACATTCAACAACCAAAAATTTTGGTCGCCAATTGTGATATTCCACGACCAAAAATTTTGGTTGCTAATTGTGACATTCTACGATGTCTTAGTTTGGTCGCCAATTGTCACATTCCACGACCAAAAAGTTTGGTCGCCAAAAGGAATGTTTGCGCCAACATACAACAAAATAAACCTGTAATTCATAATAATCTATCCAATCCATTCAATATAATCTATAATTTACAAAAATCAATCAAACCAACAATTCACCTGAATCATGAACATTCAACAACATATATAAATCATTAAATTTTGAACCTATTTAATTAAAGTTAGCAACTATTACAAATTTTCTTCCACAAGTAATTCCAAACTACATATTCCTTCAATTAAAAATCCGCTTGTAATCTATATAATCATCCAATTCACATCCATCTAGCATTAAAATTTAAAACATATTCCCTAAGTGAAGAGTAGAACTCCTTTCCCATAGCATCAATAGCTTTCATTGGTTAAGCAGAAAGAAAATTCTTCTAGCAGTATTCATATCTAGCTACGTCTCTTTCAGCTTCTTTCCAGCCCTCATAAGCCCAGACAAGAGCAAGGTGATCCTATAATCACATGAAAATTGTTCTTTTGGTGCTTCTGCTAGTTGTAAAGAGAAAGACACACCAATCAATTAGTGAAACAGATAAGATAAGATACTCAATTTTCTAACAAAAGCTATCTATTAGTGAAACCACAATGCCTTGTCACACGTCACTCTAAATAATCTAGACAGGAGTTACAAGTTAAAAACTAGATAAATTATAGAATGGATTGGGAGGCAAAAAAACACAAAATTAAGGATATGGTAAAAATAGATAAAGTTGTATCTCTATAGAGAGTGATAAATTATAGAATAAAATGTCCATGGACAGAAATAGAAAGATAAATTATGGAATAAAATGTCAATAGACTAGTGCGATAACAAAGATGTATAAATGTGTCTCTTTTATGTGCACAAAGGCATCACCCACTTCACAACCATTTGGTCCCTACACCATCTAACTACAGACTATGGTAAGTCTTAGTTCATTCTAATTCTCTCTCATCTTTTTCTCTTTATTCAGTTCTGTTATCAACACAGAAACCAAATACAAAATACATATGGATAAGATTTTTAAGTGTTGGGAGAGCCCACTTTTAAAAAATCTTATATAAAATTTTGTGATTGGTTTCTGTGTTTCTGGACTTGGTCCTGTGTTATAGACAAAAATAAACACATAATACATATAAATAGACAAGAATTTAAAAAGTTGGTTTGTGAAAAAACTTGTCCATTCACATATATTGTGTTCGATTTTGTGATCGATTTTTGTATTCCTAAACTTATTCATATATCAATTGTTGACCCTACGTCAACCAAAGAGTATCTGAAAAAGAACAGAGCTAATGTGTAGTGTGTTTGTTCGTATTCCTAAACTACTTGTCAAACCCCTGTTCAAAACTGCATCCACTCAAGGGATGTAAGATTCCCAATAGTGCATCCGCAAGGCCTGTCCAGGAAGCTTTTGCAAGCTGCAATTCTACATTTTGGTTCAACTTTTTAGGTGCAACATCCTCATCTAGATTATCATCTGTTCTTTTTCTCTTGTCCAAGAACTTAAGACGAACATGTTTTGGTTTCAATTTTTCTATACCTCTTGGAGAAAATGGGATTGGTTCCGACTCTTCAATGGTATTTTTGACATGCAAAGCTCGAGAATGTGATGGCCAATGCCTCCAAATTAACTAACTGACAGAAAGACACGCAACGCAACCTCATCACCAATAGTAATCAATACTTCCAAGAGCTTCTCCATGTCTAGAAAAAAAGAGCATAATAATAGGATAAAGTTGGTTGTTCATGAGAAACCAAAATCCAAAAATAAATAAATAAAATGCTTACAGTTGTTGGGGCTGCAAAAGAGTCCCCGTTCAAATGCCCATCGCGAGGTACTCAGTAAGCCCATTGAGCATGATAATGTTCATAGCTGGTTCCAAACAACAAAATCCTTGGTGTCAATCTCCACAGCTTGAAGATAGCAGCGTAGAGCACTATCATAATGGGCAGGACCTTGTTGAAGAAAACCAGTGGCAAGGTTCTTCAATGCCAAAAATTTGTAAAAAAAAAGGTACATGGGATTGATGCCTCATCAAAATTGGAATAAAGTTGATCCAAAAGATCTCGATTCAAGAGTGTTTCCATGACTCTACCACCCCCAGTCAATTTTGTTCCACTTCATCCCTCTTTCATGGCTACATATCTTTCAAGCCAAGGACTAGGAGATCTTTCTCCTGTTACATTAACCCAATTTCCATTTCATCTGGGAAACGCCAACTTTTTATGAACAATGTCTTTATCATTTCATCCAAAAGACTTTTGTTAGATAGAAAGAGATTTGATAAATACCGATACATATTAGATAGAGTATTAGAATGGAAAGATCCAGTTGATAATGAACTATTGGTTCTAAGCCATCTTTGGTGAGATTTCCCAATATCATGCTAAAAATAGCTCGGATTCCAAAAGAGAATATCTTTATTTTGATGAGATATATAAAGGAATATTGAAAATTCAAGTGGCTAAAGTTGAAGCAACTACTTTTGAGGTAAGAGAAAGAAAAACAATGACTAGAGTGTGAGAGTCAAAGTCAAAAAGATGATTGAAGTAAAAGAAAGAAAGTTTTGATGCAAAAGAAAAACTCTGTAAAGATTGAAACCTCAAGAGATACCTCAATTTGAAAGGCACCAAAACAGGGGAGCCAAGTAGTTGGTATTTTTTTCTTAGTATGAATTCATTTGTTCTTTCTTAGTATATAGACTACAAACTCCACTTATGCTAGATTTAGGGCTTTATCTTTTCACAATAGAAATCTGAAACCCAAATAACAGCCATGATGCCTAGAATTAAGGGTGCCAAATCTTAAAAGACATAGATAAAGCTCAGTTATGAAATGTGCTGTTTACACTCAGGCACCTCTAAAGTTCCCAAACGACTAATATAACATCATTAATCTTATTATTTTCATACATAATGATAAAAAAAGTATTCTCTCAAACAAACTTAGTATCCATTCACACATATATTAGATAGTTCATAATATGTACTTTGTTCGATCCTAAAACCCCAGCTTCCTTGTTTTCTCCACAATTTGAAGATTTCAAATCCGACATCTTATATTCCTAACCCATGATAGATTCTGAAGCTCATCCTTCAGCACCAAAACCCATATTATCTTGATAACTTTTCTAACAATCAACATTCTTATGGAAATTCAAAATCTAGGCACATGCAAGTGGGAAAAGAGCATGATACCCCTGTTAAAGCCCAAAATTTCCACAATTAAAAAATTCTGAAATCCCACTATTGTAACTTCCATTTACCAACACTAAGGAAACTAAAAACATCAAACCAACCACTATCCACTATTTCATCAATGGTCTTTGAAAGGCACCAGAACAAGCCAAGTAGTTGGTAGTTTTTAAACTAAATCGAATCCAATAAAATTGTGCTCAAATATGATTTGAGCAAACTTAAAGTCTTCAATATGACTAACCGGCACAACAATTTTCAGCTTTATCAAATAACCACAAATATTTGCTGCTGTCTAAAATCTTCAATCATGAGAAGTTTCAAGAGGAAATGGTTTCATCAAATTAATGAGATGACAAGTAAATTAAGAAATTTCAATACAACCATATTCAAGATAATATGATGTGTGCATTGGAGCATAAAAACAGAACTCAATGTCAGAAGCCTCAAAAAAACACAACCACTCCACAAATTCAACAAAGAACAATATTATGGAATTCCAATGCATCAGTGAAACAGAAAAATAGCAGAAACCATGACATTAACACACACCTTATCTTCCCAAATGTAGAAAAAATCATGTGGGTGACCGGCATTGAAGGCTTAGACGAAACTCTTGGCTCAGCAAACCAGCGAGATGGAACACCTTTCAACAAAATTTATCAGGCTGCTGCTGCCTCCCACCTCTTGAATATCCTACAACCAAACAACACATACATACATCCATTATTACCAGTAGTTCTCGCAAAATTATTAAGCATTTAGAAGAAAAAAATATTAAGTTAGATTACGGAATCCATTATTGTAGACAGCAAGACCAGTAATCATAAAAAATTCAAAACTATGGATAGAATCAAGAACAAACCTAGATTACCAAACGCATTAAGCTCTTTCCTCATTCCAAAATCATCTGATTCCGAAACTAAAGCAGTCAATCTAAACTTAACACCTTTAAGATTCAACTCAATCCCGTCAGTCTTACCAACAACCGATCTTCTCCAGTCCAAAAACTTCTTCTCGAGTTCCTTAACATCGTCTTCTCCATCTATACCATGAAGAATTTCCGATCTGGAAAACTTGGATAGAAACCCTAGGTAAACCCTAAGTCGCGGATGAAGAGAGCGCCGTGAGCGACAGGATCATTGCGTTTGCGCTTCTTGAGGTCCTTGAATCTGTGAACGACGATGTCGTCTTCGGGAACGGTGAGGGAGCGCTTGAGTTGCCACTCGTCGAAGGGCTTGACAGAGTGGTCTGCACAGTGGATAGTGAGGAGGAGCTGAAGAGGGAGTGTGTTTTTAGAGAGAGAAATGGGAGGAAAACTAGTAAAAACACAAAAAAGGGGGGAAAATTAGTAACCAATTTTTTTTTCATTACCTGCTCAATATTTCAAAATTCTCCCTCTAAAATTTGTGACAAATAATTTTTCCACCAAAAGATCTCAAAATATTAAAAATTATAGGCCATGAAAACATACTTCTCACCAAATGATATCAAAATATTTAGACTCATTGGTGACGAAAATATATTCCTCACTAATAATTTTATAATTTGTGAAAAAAAAATTTCCTCTCCAAAAGTCTCAAAATTTTAGCACCATTCAAACAACTTTAGACGAAATTTTTTTTACGATGAAACTTAATTTTTTTCTCACCTAAAAAGAAGTATTTATTGACGAAAATAAATTTCCTCACCTTTTACTTTTCTTTTTTTTTATTATATGTGACAAAATTTATAATTTGTCACAAATTAATCTTATTTAGTGACGAAAATTAGGAGGACAAGGGGTGCTAAACAAAGAGAGCTAACTTGTGTTTTGTTTTGAGAGAGAGAGAGAGAGAGAGAGAGAGAGAGAGAGATAAGAGGAAAACTGATAAAAACAAAAAATGGGGAAAAATTAGTAGTCTATTTTTTTTCATTACTGCCCATTATGTCAAAATTCTCTCTCCAAAATTAGTGACAAAATAATTTCTCACCAAAAAGACTCTAAATATTAAAATTTTCAATTCCTGATCGACAATTGATATAATGTTAGATGTTAGATCCTCGTCAACTGATATTCACCGGAGAGAGATGAAAGAGATAGAGAGAAAGAGGGGGGTAGGATGTCGACTATGACAGATCGATCGACAACGAGAAGAGAGAAAGTGAAGGGGATCGGTGATGAGAAGAGACCCCTGCTGATAGTTCCTTTATCACCGAAGAGAATAATGAAGAGAGAAAGAGACTCTCACCGTCGTTCATGAGAGAGAGTGAAGGGGTTGGTGATGAGAAGCTTCTAGATTGGGAGAGCACAAATGAAGGAGAGATGAGAGAATGAAAAGAATGGAGAGAGAAAGAGAGAGAGAGAGAGACCAAGTGGTCTGATGATCCCAAAAAAAATAATTTTTAAGTAATTATTTTTTTCAAACAATAATCTCAAGTGATTTTTATTTTTTTTTTCGTCTAGCCAGGGCCGAGGATCAGGAGACGAGAGAGAAGATTGAGGAAGAAATGTTGGATTCTGGACTGGAAGTGGCTGCAATTCTTGAGCAGTTGCAAGCCGATTGAGAGAGAGAACACAGAGAGAGGGAGAGTTGGAGACAGAGGAGATCGGGGCCTTTTTTTAATTTTTTTTTTTTGGTTTTCCAGGTACAAAACGATGTCGTTTTTACTTGGGCGACCAAATTTTTTTTGTCGCAAAAAAATTTCAATTCCTGCCCCCACATTTCAAATTTCCCTCGCAAACTTCTAGCGACCAAAAGACCAGATTAGTCGCAGAAAAGGTACCTTCACCGACAAACTTTTTTAGTCGCCAAATCTCAATCAACGACAACTAAAATATTAGTCGCTAAAAGTACTAATTTGGCGACTAAATTTTTTTTGATTGCTGAAAATAAGTTTTTGGCGACCAAATTTTTGGTCGCCAAAGAAAAAAAATAATTTTTTATTTTCCATTTGGCGACTAAATTGTTTTTGTAGCCAAAACTCAATATACGACAACTAAAATATTTTTGGTCGAGGAAAATAAGTTTTTTGCGACTAAAATTTTGGTCGCCAATTTCACAACCAACTTATTTTTGATTTTCCGCGACCAACTTATTTTTTGGTCGCCAAAATGTGACCTTCCGGGACCAAATTTGTAGTTGGTCGCCAAAAGCATACCACTTTCTACAACCAGCTCATTTTTTGGTCGCCAAAGTATGACATTCTGCGACCAACTCATATTTGGTCGCCAAAAATAATGATCATTCACGACTAATTAATATTTGGTCGCCAAAAGGTAACTTTTAGTTACCAACTTTTATATTGGTCACGGAAAGTGGTCGCTAAAAGTGCAGATACTTGTAGTGGATATAGCAACTGAATCGTAAATTTAAATACCAAAATAGATAATTCAGTCAAATTGCATTGAGAAATTTAGTCAAAACCCTTCCATTGGACCATTGTTTGGTGAAAATGACAGTCCAATTTATTTTTCTTCATAAACCCTCTAAGGAGAAAATACATAATTGAATAAGGACAAAATAATTTTTTTTTCTTTCTTGGACAATATTGCCAAAGTAACATGTTATTGTCAAACAGAGTAACATGTTACTATCAAATAGAGTAATTGTTAAATAAAATAACATGTTATTGTAAGACAAAGTAGCATGTTACTATCAAATAGAATAATTATGTTACTGTTACTGTTTACATCAATTTCAATGGCAATATTTATTTTTACTTTTATTTTTGAGAATTTCATAGTCAACATAAATCTTATTTGATAGATTTTGATAAAAGAACTCTAAAAATATTAATCTTACTAAAATTCGACATCTATATCAAAAGTTATATTATTTTAAAGTTTAATATTTTGATAATCGTGATATTTGTTGAATTTTTCAAAATAAACTTTTTATACCCATCTTTAATGAATTTAAATTTTATTATAAAGGGGTTTTCACAAAATTCCCTAACTAAATTTTTTGGACCATAGAACTATTATAAGGGTGGATGTCATCATACCAGAGTCAGATTTAGATTATACATTATTTTTATAAGTAAAATTGAAGTAACTTTTTTGTGGGATTGAGATTCACTCCATTATATGATTGTAATGGATGCAATTTCATTTTGCATTATCAATTGGTTGTAAAAGAATCACGTTAAACATTTCTCTATTTTAAATTTTTTTTTAAATGTTATTGAATAAAATAAAAAATTAAAAATAACATAATAATTATAGATGATTGATTGAAATGGCAAAGCAAGAAGAGATGGATTCAAATTTGGGGTGATAGAGTTACTATTCATCCTAAGAAAATGAAAATGACACAACAAAGCAAAAGGCAACCTGATGCCATCAAAGTGAGATATCTATAATATCCTATTCACTTACATGAAAACCAAGAGACAAGACATAGACATAGTCACACAGGCACAAGCACGGGCATATTTGCATATAGGAGTAGTTAGTTAATTGTCTAATGCTGTGTTTGGTTAGATGATTTGGGAAGAGATTTAGAAATGAAAAGGAAAAAAGTGTGAAACTAGATAAAATATAAATATATTTTATTTATATTTCACCTACTTTTTTCATTTCCAATTTCCTTTCCAAATTCCTTAATCAAACACAGTCTAATAGTATCATCTAAGAGTGAATAACATAAACATTGTATTCAACAGTGGCATCTCCAGTCTTTGCATCGAGCCAAATGGTGTGTGCCAATGCGTAACCACGAGCAAACCTGAAAACCCCACTCCCTCCAACAATCGGCATCTCCCTCACATCATTGTACACTGGGTTCCTCCCAAGGATGCTTATGCTACTCCCATTGTAAATCCCTTGTTCGAATTCATAATACACCACCATCAGCAATTCTGGTATGTTCTTCTCTGACGCCAATGCATACATCCCTTGAGCTCTTCCCACTAGCTTTGAGTTGCTCTCTGGCCCTTCCGTCAGCGGATCATTCATCATGAAAGTTGTCCCAAATCCCATCACCGATCCATCTTCCGCTCCTGCAATTTTCACTGCTGTTGGGTTCTTCCCACTAACGATGTCGTGGAAGTAGAAATGGAGGTGGGTTGTCTTCTCCATTCGCTTCAAAGCTATGGCTTCCGAGACCTCCTCAGAGAAACTTCCTTGGGTACTGGTCTTGCTTAAGGTTGAGAGGAGGAGGAGGAGGAATAGAGCTAAGTTGAAGAAGAGAGTGAAAGTGTAACTAATCAGAGAAGAAGAAGAAGAAGAAGCCATTTGGGTTTTGTCAAGCTTAGCTTCTTCGTTTGCAAATGTAATTGAAGTAGCTATATGGTGTGTTGTTTTGGTTAAAGGACTAGAATTTATGAGCTTTTTTGCCCTTTCTTGGCATGATGAACTGCTTATTATAAAGTTGGCCTTGTTGAGGAAATCATTGCTTTTTATAAATTTCATGACACAATTTCTATAGCTTTAGCTTGCTTTGCTTCCTTTTCAAGTTGAGGTGAAGTTAAGCAAAGAAAGACTGATGTTTTCTTCACTCCTTTCCTTTCGTATCTGTAAAGCACTATTGTCAACTACCGTTTTACTCATGATAGGTGACAAACATATTGGAATCATTTTAAAGAGTTTCATATATTATTATGTTAAATTGTTCATTCAATTTGAACTTTTGTGATCCATTTGTTATTTCGACCAAATCTATTGAATTGGATTGAATCGGTCATGTTTGGTCTGTTTTTTAATAAGAATTAATCTGTGTAATTTTTTAATTTGATTTTTTTTTCCGATTCTCGATCTAGTATTGATTCAAGCACCTCATGCACTTAATTAAACAGAAACTGACTTCTTCAATATGTATTGTATTTATATGATATTGATAAGTATAAAAAATTATTAACCGCAATTGATTAATCTTAAGATCCTTATAACCTAAGTTAGTAAACTCTTATTATATACAATTTTAACTCTAACGCATTATTCCTAAAATCTTAATATTTATTTATTTATTTATTTATTTTTGTGCGTATTTTTGTTAATCTAGGAATTGAAAAGTTTTAATTAAATGGATGGATCGGATATATTTGAATTAGTGGACAAATTGACTAATTTATTGTTTTTATATATGCTAATTAGTAGCTCAAATTTGAAAGGCCCTACACCGATTAAACTGCACCGAACCGAACCGTTTCAATTGATGTGATTTGATAAGAGAAGCGATCTGTATCGGTACTCAAAATAATAAAATCGACATTATTGGTTCAGTAAAATTTGTTACCTAAATACCAACTATACCAAACCGATTACATCACTAATTATGGTCATTAGACCGACCGTAAGGAAAGGCAGGCAAGATGACTATTTGGGCACTGTTTGGTTTCGGCTAATTTAGTCCCCAAAAAAAATAAAATCATATGAAAAACAATAAGTATTTTTATATATTTTTTAAAGAAATAGTCTTTAGTTCTTTTTTCTTTTTTCTTTTTTAAATAGAAGACAAAATTTGAAAATTCAACCAAACATGGTGAATTGCTCCTTTGCTAATTTCTTGTAACTATTTTTAATGCTAAAATATATGCGACTAATTTTTTTTTTCTTTTTCTTGGCTAGTTTTTAGTGACATTTTTTGTTTGTATGGTTTGAGTTTGATGACAATCAGTGTACAGTAGGTCTATGGCGGCAATTGGATCCATGATGTAATAACCCTGCTCTGTGTAGTGTTAATTAATCTTGATTATGATTGTGATTATGTGCCTGATATGATTTTGAGTGTCATTTATATGATTATGTGGGTGTTTGAGAAGTGGCTATTTTAGAGGCTTTTTGGCTTTTTTACTATTTTAGTTTTTGTGTTTGGGAAGATGGGATGGATTTTTATTTGAGTTGTATTGAAAAATGTGTTAAAATGATGTTTGAAGTTAAAATGACAAATTTATCCCTAAAATCACATTTTTTCAAAATTGATGTAAAGGGGCAAAATCGTAATTTACCAAGTGATGGAACAACTTGTCAATGTGACAGTGTAGGCACAGCCTACACTGTCCCATGGCTGCAGCTATTTATTTATTTATTTTTATTTTTTTATTAATAAAAAGGGTTGGTTTAGGGGCTTTTTGGCTTTTTTTTTTTAGTTTGAGGTTATTTTAGCCTCAAACCCATCTTCCCAAACACCCCCTATATGTGTTTTTGAATTTCTACCTATCCACTGAAGGAAAATCTGTTTAACTTACTGTTATAATTTGAAAATTGAAGACCGTAAAGGTTACAGAAACTGAAATTGTCTGCACCATTGTGATTAGCGTGATTTTTAGAGCATATGGTGTATAATTAAAAATTAATTCGGACCAAATTAATTAGATTTAATTGATTGAAACAGACACAATGAATTAGCCTTAATCAATGTTGATTAGGCAAGCATAGATATATGGACCTATTTACACTTAAGCTCACCATTTTGAGCTCAAAATCTGAAATACACTCTAAAGAGAGAGAGAGAGAGGGATGGTTCTAGAGAGAGAGAGAGTAAAGGAAAAGTATGAGAATTGAGTAGGAGGCTTGGAGATTGAGAAGATTCACTCAAGAACTAACTGGAAGTTGGAAGATTGGAGCTTCTAGATGAGTAATTGAACTCAAAACCATGAGTGTTGATCTACAGTTGAGTGAATTCAAGGACAATATGAACAATTTGAGGTCTATATGTTCATGCATATATAGAATTGCCATGAATTTTCATGAAATTCCATGATCTAGCATAAGGAATGTTAAACATGAAGAATTGTGCACCATAGTTTACATGCATGCATAATTTTGATGAGCTTCATGATTATAAGTATCATTTGTACCATTTGAAATGGAATTGGGGTCGTATTCCAAATGCTTACTTCTGTATAAGCTTCATCGGCTTTACTAACTTGAATTGAACGAATCTTCGTTATGCCAATGATTGAATAAAGCTGTTGGAATACGATTATGATTATGATATGATTATGATCTCAAGGATGAAATGCGCATAGACATAAATGAATTGGGCCCGAGGCCGTTTAACATGAATGATTGGGCCAAAGGCCGTTTGTCATAAATGAATTGGGCCCAAGGCCATTTGACATGAATAATTGGGCCAAAGGCTGTTTGACATAAATGAATTGGGTCCAAGGCCGTTTGACATGAATGATTGGGCCAAAGGCTGTTTGACATGAATGATTGGGCCCGAGACCATCTAACATGAATGAATTGGGCCCAAGGCCATTTGAAATGATGGACTAGAGGCCGTTTGATGTATTAGATAGAAATATGAATGAGCCTAAGGTCGTTTGATGTCTGTTACGAATTTCATTCATGTAACTCTTTATTCTGATATTATTCACTAGGCTTTTCGCTCACTCTCATTTAAATGTATGTAGGTGAGCAAAGAGATGTCCAAACCCAGCCTCAGTGAAGAATGTGAGAGGAAGTCAAGTTTGTGGAGTCAGCCCGAACGTCTCATGCATGAGACTTTGTTCTTGTTCTTTTATTTACTCTTTTTGCTACCTTGGTGAATATGTTGGATCACCCATGTACATAAACTTTTGTTTGGCTGACTACTTGTTTGAAGTTCCTAGATGTACAAGATGTTAATTCTACCTATATGTGTGAGTTATTATGAAATGCTTTTGGAATAATTTTTACTATGCCATATAAGCACAGCTCATTGGACAAAATTTTTAAGTCGGCTTCCGCTTTGGCCCCTTATTTATATTGAAACATGTTTAAAATATGTTTGAGGCCGTAGGTAATCTCTTGATTACTGGCCGGTTATGACCTTAATCCATAGAAGCGGGTTCGGGTCATGACATATGACTAGGTTGGGATCATTGATCAAATTTCAGGTCTTGCTGTGTTTGTCATGCATACAAGCCCCTAAGAATTCATTGGTGGGTGTCTTTCATCAAGTTAGTTTTATGAAAGATAGTACTCTAGCAGAGAGATACGAGAGATGATAATGAAATAAGATACCTGGAGTGTATATTATTGTTTATATGCACATGCTAAACTATGAAGGGAGAACGTGCTTTCATGATGTGCCTTACTTCTCTTACGAATCGCCACGTGACATGCCTCTCTTGGGGCATGCACAATAGTACTATATTTGCATAGTCATGTCCATTTTGTCTTGATGGGAAGTTCGGGTGGTAGGGGGGACAAAGGACATGGCACGTCCTCTATGTGACTATGTCAAACTTGGTATGGAGAGTGGCAATGGTTGAGTGCGTGTCCTTCCTCTTCGATCAACTATGATCGACTCTAGTTGTGATCATTGTTGTTTGACTTCTGTCATGACCCAAACTTGTCCCTAAAAGTTTGGTTCACAACCGGCCAATAATCACACAATTATCTACGGTCTTATACAGAAAACAAATATTTTTAATAATGGAGCCCTAAGAGGAAGCAAATATAAGAAATAACGTCCATTGAGCAGTGCTTAAGTGGTCAAGATAAAATACTTACACACATAAGAGTCAAGACATTAAGTTGTGTATCCACAAAACCAACATGACAACACCGGATAAAAGTCTTAACATAGACATAAAGTCAAAAGACAACAGCTCCATCTTAGAGTTTTGACATGACAGGTCCTCATAAGCAATTTCCTGAGGTTGACTCTAAGGTTGGCCTCCATGCTGATCACCTACACACACACACAACATAGGGGACGAGTGACGCTCAATGAATAATAGTAAAGTAAAGAGAATCAAATGAATAATCTTGAATTAAAAGAAAGCATATTATGTGAATACAATACTTTTCCAGAATTTCATCCTTTATAACATTATCCATAGTCACATTTACAGAATGGCCTCGGGCCCAACATATTACGGAACGGCCTTAGGCCCAATATATAACATAACAGCCTTGGGCCCACATATATCACAACGGCCTAGGGCCTAAGCACATCACAGCATAAACGTCCATATTGTACATGTAATATAACGTTTATAAAACTCATTTATTGCTATCAAAATATAATATCAGAATAAGTCGATGTACCTGGATCAATTAATCAATTAAGAACATGTCTTTACAATACTATTACTCACAATGCATTTGGTCTTGCGACGTCTCCTCCGGCACACAACCTACATAACATTTCACACAAACACATTCGATAAATAATTCGTTTCACTTCGTACAATTTTCTTTTAATGATTCACATCCTTTTCAATGAGTTTCTAATCATCATTTCACTTTCTGGAGGGTTTAAATAAGGTCGAGAATGCGTTCAGAGGGTCAGAGAGGTCAACAAAAGAAAGCAAGATTTTCTCCCCTGCTGGTCGCTTGTATGGCAGGTCTAACTGCTCGAGCGGTCAAGTTCCGCTTGTGCGAAGATGGTGGCCGCTCGAGCGAGCAGAATGCTCTTCCCTATTTTGGTCCACACTCCGCTTGTGCGGAGC